CCAGTTTGTCTCAACTTGTTACATGAACATGAGACTTGTTGTTACTGTAGTTTTAGACTAAATGTCAACATGCATGTACTCATCTCACTCACACAAAAACAGATTCGGTATTCCTCAAAATGAATAAAAATACAGAAAAACAAACTTGACGCAAACATGCAATAATTAAATATGTTAATTAACACAAATATCCTTTATGTATTCAGTACCATTTTATTACAGTTTTTTTTTTTTTTTACAATCGCTAGGACACATTTCTCAATACTTAGGTCACTTTTTCAAAAGTCTTCACACAGCGAGCACAACATCAGCAGTGTTGAGGAAAGTTACTTTTAAAAGTAATGCATTACAATATTGCACTACTCCCCAAAAATTAACTAATTAGTTAGTTACTTTTTATGGAAACTAATGTGTTATATTACTTTTGCACTACTTTTTCTCACCTGGGCTGGGCTTGCTAATAAAAAATTTATTAATAAATAACACTCTTATTTCAGCAATAAATTATATATATATATATATATATATATATATGATGTTTAACTAAAGTCATTTTTGCCTATTCGTATGGGTGAATTGGACCATCAAAGGTGAGCAGTGAGATTAAATACATAATATATATTTGCGTTATTTAACAGATTTAATTATTGTAGGTTTGCAGAATATTCCGAGTTTGCATTTCATTGTTTTTATTAATTTCTAGGATTACTGAATCTGTTTTTGAGCAAGTGAGATGAGTAAATTTATGTTCACATTTAGTCTAGAACTACAGTAACTATCATGTTTACACAGCGCACACAACTTTCACTTACTCGCAATTTCTCTAAACATTGAGACAAGAGGGTCTCAATCAATAAATGGAAAACAAAGTAACTTGCGTTACTTATTTGAAAAAGTAACTCGGATATTTTGTTGTAAATTTAAAAGTAATGCGTAACTTGTTACTTGGAAAAAAAAATCTGATTACGTAAATTGCAGAGGTTGGGAGTAAGTCACGCATGTGCAAGTCACAAGTCTTAAGCTTCAAGTCTCAAGCAAGTCCAAGTCAATTTTTGTGAGAATCAAGCAAGTCAAGTCAAGTCGTAGCTTGGGTCAAGCAAGTCACTGTCAAGTCATACAAATGTTTGATGATTTAACTGAATTTATATGGCATAAAATCACTGTCAAAAATAATCGTACGCAACTCAAAGCATTTGCGTGTCATTTTAATTTACCCGTGTGTAATTTAAAAGTATTGTATGTAATTCTGTTTTTTGTCAGAGTTGGATTCCAAAATCTACGGCCACGACAGTTTACAGATATGAGATTGTGTGTGTTTGTTAGAGTACAACTCCAAAATGTACGACTATGACAGTTTACAGACACAACGCTTGTTTTCACAACAGCTCTGTTACACGCACGACATGCGAATTGCGACACGAAGTGCGGTGTGCGAAAGGACTGTCAAAAATACGTCATCATTGTCACAGGCATTACTATCCGTGAGAATCAAGCAAGTCAAGTCAAGTCGTAGCTTGGGTCAAGCAAGTCACTGTCAAGTCATACAAATGTTTGATGATTTAACTGAATTTATATGGCATAAAATCACTGTCAAAAATAATCGTACGCAACTCAAAGCATTTGCGTGTCATTTTAATTTACTCGTATGTAATTTAAAAGTATTGTATGTAATTCTGTTTTTTGTCGGAGTTGGATTCCAAAATCTACGGCCACGACAGTTTACAGATATGAGATTTTGTGTGTTTGTTAGAGTACAACTCCAAAATGTACGACTATGACAGTTTACAGACACAACGCTTGTTTTTATGACTCACTCAGAGGTAAGATCGATAATGTTATTTTTCTTGTTTTTGTGTTGGGTGAATTTCCTTACTCTGTTTTTCTCTGCCTTTGATAATTAAGCTAGCAGAGGTGCTTGTTAATGCATATCCAAAACTGGCAAAAATCTGCGGAGGATGGTTGCTGCACAAGTGCTCCGGTATGTAGGATTGTTTAGAATTAAAAACATAATGGGAATAGCTATGAAATATGGGGAGTCATTTGATAATGTTTAAATGTATTTGATGGGGAAAGCATGTTGAAACAGCAACTTTCAGCTTCTCTTTGAGTCACTGTTTATTTGCACAAGTAAAACTGTATCTTTGACTATATTTGTTCAAAGAATTTTCATGTTAAAGAAGCAATACAAAATCATTAACTGTTCTGAATTTATTTACAAATTACTTTTCATACAATTCATTCATTGTGCTGCTTTGTGTTTTTCAAAATATGTATACAATTTGTAAAATAAATGGTTTACAATTGTCTCACACAGGTGTTCGTGTATTTTAAAGACGTTGAAAATATTGAACCAAAGATATATAAATATCTCTGCCGTAACAGTCAGATGTTGCAAGAGGATTAAAGATGGATTTTACGGTTTCCATCAGAGCAGGAGCGAGTGGGCACTCAATTTCTGGAACATGAACTCCAACATCATCATCTGTCACACTATCAAACGTCTCCCAGTCTGTTCCAAACAGTTCCAAATTCTTAAATGAAAACAAATTACTTCCTGCATCATGCAAAAGCACAATTTGACAGTATGACTAAAGGCATAAAAAATCAAGAAAAAAACAAACCTGAGAATTCTCTTCATCGTCACCAGATGAGTTATCCACAGCTGGTTAGGGGTGAGCACATTTTCAGACTGTAACGGATGATTGTCCCAGCCTTCAGAAAATGTGTGGAGGTCATGCTTCAGACGTGGGAGGAACACATAATGTGCACAAAACAGATGAAGGGAATCTGACAAGTCCAACAAGCCATCTTCCTCAAGGCTGTGAAGTATTTCGTAATACAGCTGAGTTACGCTGAGCCAGACGTCTCGCCACAGGCGTTCAATTCTAGAGAATACAAAATGTATCGATTAAAAATGATAAATTAAATGATAGTGTGACATCCTAACTTGTTTATTACCTCTGATTATGTATGCTTTTCCCGGCAATGTAGCTTCCTCTTCCGGTCCCTTTCACACGAAACATGGTTTCTGCAATTGCCACATTTTCCACACCTTCATCACCCCGGACTCTAAAATGGAGAGGAGGAGGGAGAGGTTAAATCTGCTTGACTGCCATAATGTTAAGAAAATACAAATTAACATGTTTACTCATCTGTCCCTCCCGAACTAATAACAGAAGTGTCCTTCCAGGGTCAAAATGACTCGAGGGCTAAAAATGACTTTT